TATCACAAATTTAGGGGAAAATGTATTTAAAATTAGAAAAAATTGCTTGCATTAAAAATATAAAAAAACGGTCATGCAGTAACTTGAGTCATTAGAGAGTACAACATTTACATGAATACTTATTTCACTGACACGAATAATAAAAATTGATTAGTAAAGAAATATTTGTGTCTTCATAGTTCGGGTGCTCAAATTAAACGTACCTTGAAACTCAAATTTTACGTGGCATTATTAAAAATATTTTTGCTTATGTACCTGTATTGTCAATGAACACTCCCTGAAATCGTTTTAAAAGGGCTTAAAATGTTCAGATTGTCGGAGCTCCACCCCTAAACAACTGGTGTAGTCACTCACGCATTTGAAAACTATGTGGATGAAAGTGTGAGGCAACCCTCTGAATGGGATGCTGGTCCACTGCACGTCATTCCCAGATTTTTGCTGGTGCCCATTGATACAGCTAGGTAGACAGAAGCGATGTCGATAAATGCATATTTTGAATGAAATGTAGTAAAAATATAGAAATGAAACCTTCAAATTTTAAGGTACTTTACAATCTTAAAAAAAAAATGATTTTTCTCAAAAAAACAAGCAAAGCCCCTAGCCTTGTATGACTTGGGTATAGAGCGTAACAGACCCAAATCATCAGCTTTCCATTTTACCCAACCATTATTATGACGAACCCTCAATTATTTAATGTTTGGAACCACTCTTACAGAAAGGTAGTAAATGATTTTTGGCCTTCTTAAATTATATTGATTTTGATTATTTTGTTATTTGTATTATTACACACATTATTAATTATTATTAATATTTTTATTAATAGTATATTTATGATGATGATAAACCATTGGGATGTTTTTGCCCGTTTCACTTCTTTTTTTCTATTACATTTTGATTGTGTAGTACCAAAACATTCAAAATTAAAGTGCACTTAAAAACAAATGGCCAATTTTAGCCAACATGACTTCGACACATTTTTGTTCACCATTGTCCCAACTACAGGTCTTATGTACATTGTAGGATTTGTGTATCAATTTTAATGGGTATACACACTCAGATATTTGTCTGTCAGATATCAATGTTTGATTAGATTATGGTAGTGTATGCTTGTTAACAAAAACATTTGACATGCCTAAATATGGTCATGACATCACATCATTACCATATATAGGAACACGACTACTATAGTCATACGACAGTTTTTTGTCAAAGAAAATGTTTCTCCTTTTTGTTGAAATGCTCTAATTAAGCTGAAGTCTGAACAAACACTTTTGGATCTGACAGACAAATCTTGCATTTATAATTAATATCAAACATGCTTAATTTTCTTCAGAGGAAAAAAAAGCACTGAATTAAAAGTTATCATGCAAAGATGTATTAGATTGTGAACAATAAGAGAGATGTTTTTAAAAGTCCTGCGTTGTACAATGTTTTATTAAACATGGACCAAATCAATATAAGTCATTTCAAACCATTTATTTGCTTACTTTTACTCTTTATGTAAATTTTAAACAAAATGTGCTATCTTTTGATATGCAAAATGTGGTGGGCAAGGGCATTTGAAAGTTCGAAATTTTTGGTACAATGTAGTACATTTTGCAAAATGATATTTTAATTTTTTGTTGAAAAATTGTACTTGATTTTGCCGACGAGGTCCGATATGTCCGAAAGACCCCTTGTTGGCAAAATCAAGTATTGTGTAGGCCTAATTTTGACCATACTGCTGTATGCAAACAATGTAAACAGTATGTTTTGGAAAGTGATATTTCAATTTTTCATTTAGAATGATACAATTGATGAAAGATTTGTACTTGAATTTTGTTGTTTTATTCGATGGCTCCAGAAATATCCTGACTGGTGGCCACTAAGCTGGCCCGAATCAAGAAACTTCCTTGGGCCTTCATGAGAATGACAAAGTAAAACACTTCGTGGTTGTAAAGTAGAGAAATTGAATGGCTTAGGATGGTAACAAAAGCAGTGACCTTTTAGATCATCATCATAACTGCATTTGGGATGGGAAAATAAATATGTTTTTGATCAACGATGTCAAGTTGCATTGAATGACACAAGTCTGACCTCGCTGGTGTAACCTCTGATCTTTCGTAATAATTTTAATCAACTCTTGTTGCTGTAATTTGATTTTCACTTTGGACAAATTCAACTTACAGTGGTGATATCTTACTGATAGCACTATTGTACTCAATACAATTTTTAGATAATACAGTTATTTTAAGTTTTGGTAAATTTAATATTATTGGACAAATGTGTTTTTCTATTTCGAATATATATACAATAATTTTTATTGTTATTATTATCGATATTGTCAGTAAAAATTGAATCATCATCATATAATTATCTTTTATTTTTAAATAATTCATATTTAAATTAATGTGAGTATACAGTATATTAATATTAAAAATATATATTTCCCATAATCTAGGAAATGTAAAGTATTACCTTAAATTATCTTTTTTTTTTTAAGGGACCACCTACGAATGATTAACTCACCAAAGCTTCAAACATGTATCTATTATTGACACATGAATGTTATTTTTTAAAATTATGTATTGATGACTGAGATTGTTTAATCATGATACAGATTGTGTTACTGTACATCTATATTTTCAATATAATATTAGTTAAATCAACATTTACGCAATTAAAGAGTATTGTACAAACTACAGTGTCAGTGTTTTGTTTTAACATGATACACATGGCGGCCTTATAGGAACAACACCATTCAATATAGGTCTCTTTGGGCCAATTATTTTCAGACGTAACATATAACTCATAAAATCCTCTTACCATTTCAAATTATATATATATACATATATATATATAGTTTCAAATGCAAATTGGAAAAACCCATAAAACAGCAAACAGCCATATAATGCAAAACAATTTAAAATTAAAACGGAACAGTAGAGAAAATCCGATCAGAATGACAAAATAAACTAAGCATTCAGTGGAAAGAATCCCAATATCTGCAGACGGATCCGTTTCGGCTCCGTTCCATTAGATACAGAGAATATTTTGTCATTCTTAACGCGTCCCACAAAATTCTTACGAGACAGCACTAGTCCGTGAATTTGTGAACAAGATCAGAGATCTAAAGATGCAATCTCTACCGTGCATCAATGGCAGCGCTGGATCTCAATAGAGATTCTTAAATAATATAAAAGTTTGAAAGGCAAATGGGAAAAACCCCATAAAACAGCAAACGGCCATATAATGCAAAACAATTTAAAATTAAAACGGAACAGTAGAGAAAATCCGATCAGCATGACAAAATAAACTAAGCATCCAGTGGAAGAAATCCCAATATCTGCAGACGGATCCGTTTCGGCCTTCCAGGCCTCATCAGTGCAGCTAGGGTACAGACCCAAAAGAAACGTTTGACCAGCTTTAGGTAGGGCCCAAACTAGTCCCACGACCACTAATGATTACAGAGCCAAACCAAGGCAATATATATACACAGCCCAGGTGTGAATGCAAATAGTGGAATACAAGCTATGTGGCTCGGTTCCAGTAAATACAGAGAATATTTTGTCATTCTTAACGCATCCTACAAAATTCTTACGAGACAGCACTAGTCCGTGAATTTGTGGACAAGATCGGAGATCTAAAGATGCAATCTCTACCGTGCATCAATGGCGACGCTGGATCTCAATAGAGATTCTTAACTAATATAAAAGTTTGAAAGGCAAATGGGAAAAACCCATAAATGAAGACATTGTGTAATAAAATGCCTCTGGCGGGACTCGAACCTGCGATCTCACGCTGCCAAGGCGAGTGTCAAAACCATTATATATATAATATATATATACATTTATAGCATTACAACAAAAAAAATTGTTCACTTGCAGATTGTATCACTTTATACACAACGAAATGTAATGTTTTAGAGAATTCTATAGGAACCCTTTTTTGGTTTTGTTTTATATAACGCTACGATTTATATTTAAAGTTGTAAGTTGATGAACTCATAGACTAAAGCCAAGATATGAACACCACGAATGGCCGAGCAGTTAAGGCAAAGGTGCTGCAACCTACCTATGTTGTAGGTTCAACATTAACCATTAAGACCCCACTGAAATAATATAATATTTTTAGCACTTTAAATGTATATTGTGATGTTTCTATCAAATATATTTTTGCTGTTCTTCAATTGAAAACGTTTTAAACAGTTTATAGTAACGTTGTGCTTTGTGCCCATTTTATTGTTTTAAATATTTCTTGGTTGGAGCACCCAACCCACTGTCTGCAAAAACAGGGAACATCAATGGAGATTTTCATCCTCTTGAACAACTAAAGCTTTCAGGAATCGAATCATTTTTAATATAAATTTAACGAAGTGTCACCGTCTTTATTTCTACGCCATTTTTTACTCCTCACACTTTACGCGTCAAAGAATTCTTATATTTTTTTCTGTAACTTTCTAGTTTCCTTCCTGTTTCTATTCTTTTTCAAATCGCTCACATATTTGTGCTTTCTTTTGTTTCCTAGATTTGTAAAATGAAATCATCAGGTCAAGCATGCTTAAACACTTCTCTAAAGTACAGTCTCCAGCCATTCCTTTTCTCAATAGTTAGAAGTCATATAACGACATTGGTGCCAAAATAGATTATCTATTAATATTTTTCACTGATTAAGACAAAGTTTAGGGACTGGAATCCAATATACATGCATTGGTTCTATACAACTTTGTTATGCTTGGTTTCCATACAATTTGCTACATGCTATTGCCGACAGCTATCGGTGATGCTGATTGGACGGTCGAATTGGGGTGCCTTCCCAACTGGATCGGGGACTGGTATGCAGACGTACGATTACACTGAAAACAATGTAGCGACAGTGTCATTATTTTAAGGAAACCAGCCCTTTATTTCATTTCTACACTGACAAATGTGTAAAATCACAGACGTCCAATATCTTCCTCTTCAGAACAGCATTTTGCATCGAGGCCTACCACTGATTACTGATCACTCACAAACATGTTCTACTGTAGGTTATTACTTCATCGCCATGGTCCAACATTGTCTATATCTTTTGCCTTCATAGTACTTTTTTTTTATCTCATGCTTAATTGCAAACCAACGTTTTCTCAATTTAATTGTGAATAAAACATCAGTCAACAATTATTACACCTTCATAGTGTTGATAAAGCTAGTTCATCATCATCATCCAGAATAAACTGTTCAAAGTTTTGATTTTTACTGTTAACTGGCTGCCTATTGGAGGGCACAAAAGATTTCAGTTTTTGTTGGCGATGAGGCGGCCACACAATCCTCGATGCTTTTGCATGTAGAAGCCCAAGAGATACCTACAAATAAGAACATAAAGTTTTTCTTTAAAAACCAATAAACCATTACTTTTGTACAACGAAATACATATAGTGCCAATTTTTGTACACTGTTTATACAGTGGAAATATTGATTGGGTTTTACAATATTACAAGTTCTCTATGGGATATTCAACAAAATAAATGACAAAAAACAAAAATAGAAACAGTGGCTAAGGGTTCTTCCGGCCTTACTATCCTGGAGACATATAGGTCCCTGTCGGCACTGGTGTTTTGATAACAGATATGTGAGCCAAATTATTTTATTCCAATTCTTGAAATTACTACGCTGTACGTTATAAACTGCAACATGATATGGGAATGAGACTAGGAGTGGATCCAGGATTTTTTAAACAAGGTTTTTATTAGAAAAGTGAGGGGTGTTAGGCTGGGAATGTAACATTAGAAAGAGGGAGCCACACCCTCTTTGAAAAATATGCTTAATAGATATGTGTTACTATTAACAATATATATTTTTTGCTTAAAAATAAAAAATACAGTGGTAAAACTACGGGCCGTATCCCTTACTAAATCTGCTCTCTGCAGAAGTCAAATAATTATTAACAATTAGCTCATATCAGAATTTTACTATGACCCACAATAGTGTTTGTTTAATAGTAACAATCTATAGTCTACAGTGTAAATACTCACTGGACCAAATATGTTGCTGTCCAAGCTAACTTCAGAATGGTCTCCTTCAATCCAAATATGACCTGTGGGTACTTTCACGTACCTGTTCTTGTACTTCAGTGTTCTATTTATAAATCAAAATTCAACGCAATTATTTTTAATGAATACGTATAATACAGCTGTAGGTCCTAAGACTATGATTACTTGCTTAATAGCAAACCTGATTTTTGAAGGATCATCGAACAATGGTGTCTTGAGAAAATGAAAATAGAAATTTATTTATCATAAATAAATTGATATTTCAGGAGTGCCAAGTCTCATACTAGTGTCAGGGGTCAAACTTAAAATTCTCACAATCTTCCTCACTCCCACTAGTATGCAATGGGTATTCTCACAATACAAAGACAAACACACTTAGATGACTTAAGAAAGCTCATTATGACCAATCACCGGAATGTGGTTTCTCCCAATTTTGGTGACCCCTGACATTTCAGTAAATGAATGAACTCTAAGGAATGTTAATATAAGTTTTTGGAAGACTCCTGAGATCAGCGGAGCAGTTTATAACAATTATGCCATAGTTGCATCTATAAATCCGTTAAAAATACAGTAGTGGGATGCACATTAACTGAAACCGTAAATAAAGCTAATCGAACTATGCAAAAGGTGCCTATAGTAAAAAATTAATGTGGTGATCCGGAGTACAGTAGGATATCATTAAAATTTATAAATATTGTATCTGCCCCTGGTTGAATGCCTGTGCCACAAGGCACTCCTCTCTTATAACTGTACAAAGTGATGATTTGAAGTCTGTTCAGAAATGATTTTTGCTGAATTGTTTTGGGGCGGCGGTATTTTTCTTATTAGACAGTCTCTGTGATCGCTATTTACAGATCGTCCAGAAGTTTGGGAAGGATGCCCGTGGTACACTTAATATAGAGTACTACAGTGTTACATCACGATACCACGTGATACTACTCTCTTGCTCTCAGCGACACAAAATGCGTTCAACCAACGCCTTTTTTTATCCACTGATTGATCTCAATTTCCAACGTACTTATTAAGAAGATATATCTTAACTTTTCTTTGTAAATGTTAATTGATGATGAAATTTGTGTTCGATAATAAACTAGCTTTTTGTGTTTTTAGTACATTTTGATGGTAAATTATTAGGTTTTAAAACCTATTCAGAAATCCTATTCTAAACTAAGATTATGAAGTCATTCAGACATTTTAAATGAACGGTAACCAACGACTACTGTAGATGGTGCCACCTGGTGTTGTGACGATACAACTGTGGTACTCTAAATACTCCCTGATTCACATTCTAAAGCCACAAATAAAAATCCGAGAAATGGTAGCTGTTTGACTAAATATCACTGCTGAAATTTAGTTTTAAGAAATCTACCTTGCCTTTTTTAATAATAATAATAACAATCTTTATTTGAAACTTCACTTTTAAAACAGTGGCACATTATTACGGTGCGTCATTAACAATGACTTATTAAAGATGTATTGTCCCATGCTAAATACCAAAAAAATCATAAAGATATTTTTTGAAATTAACTTGCAGCGTGCCTATTTTGAAGTAACATAAGTTATCAACTTGAACATAGAAATTAATGTATTTAAAAAATGTCTACACATCAGTTTACAGCGAAAAATGATAGAAACACTTCCAATCACTGGAAGTGTATTACTATTTTTATTATAATATTTTGGTTTAAAAATCAGGGTACACATTTTTCAAATTCAATAATTTTTATACACTAGTTAAGAATTTGTATGCTATTGCAATATGAGCAAGTTTATTTCAAAATAATTTGTTATTTTTTGACATAGCAAGGGACAATACATCTTTAAACCTTATTGATAAAATTAAAATAAGTAAATAATGTCTAATGAAAAAGTTGTAGTTTCTCGTAGAATGGTATTTTTTTTACATGTATATTGATGCAATTCTAATTTTTGTAAATAATTTCTTAAAATTTGTATATATACAGTACTTATATATCCTACCAATTTAATAAGTCAAAAGCATGATTCCTTTATATAAATTTAAGTATTTTTTATGTAAATGATTATTGTTACTGTATATTGTAATGCAATCAAAGTCTTTTATGTATTTTATCTCATTAATTTATAGGAAATATAGTGATTCTCTTTTTTATAAATTTATTTATTTTTTAAATATTCTTAGGTACTGTAGAATAGCATTTCTGTCTATTGACACAAGTATTATTTTTTTATATTAGTTACTGAAAGTTTGAAATCCGATTTCTTAATGGAGAAAGTGTACTCCGGCTATAAAGTTCATTAGAGGATTGAAAAATGTTGTACTTATTAATGAATATATAACTATTGGTTAGTATCTAATCAAATACATAATTTTACATTTTGAGTTTAATAGTTATAATTGTTTATAAGCAAATATTTAAAAAATAAAAATATAAAGGAAATGTCATTTACGTCTATAATACTTAATATTTAAATAAAGCAATACAAATAAGTAAACCAGACCCCGATGTGGAGCGTGGTTCCTATTAACGTTATCATTAATATTTGCATTGTTTTTATACACATTTCAATTTCTTTAAAGTTTTCATGCAGGGGGAGGGGTTCCAGCTACAATGCCATTCTGCACACCTAAGTTTAAATTAAGTAATAATGATAAGTAAATAATATTACAATTATGTTATTGTTTATTGAAGAAGGAAGAAAAGCAAAGAAGTTCAGAGCGGCTTACAATTGTATCAAAAATTATGTAAAAATGATGATAATGGCTCATTATTATATTTACGAGTTTGTAGTACATATTGGACACTAATCATCAGAGGTCAAGTCTACACGTTTTATAATTTGACACGGTAAACTTTTTCTGCAATAGTTTGTCAAACTGTTTGTGCAGGAGCACATGTAAATTTAAATGCGTTGTCTGATAAGTCTCCAATCCAAGAAATAAATGATTGGGTAAAAAGAAGAGAAGTAATATGCTGGTTCAATATGAGTATCATTACCTGCATTGATTTTCCATCAACTCTTGCAAAATAACCGACTTTGTTGAAGAATGTAAGAGTACCAACAACTCCTGCTCCGCATCCCCAGGAAAACACACGTACTGCACCAACCCAGCTCCATGCTCCTGCCATTCTGTTAATAAACACGACATTTAATCAATGTAGTCAGCCCTACCATATTACAGTACAACTGCAGTCTTTCAATGTTTGCCTAAGCCTAAGTATTATACTCACTCAAATGGTACTCAAAATGCTCATAATGCCAGGCTCCAAAGGAAAACTAATTTATGTTGTACAACACTAAAATGGCCAGGTGTTTGACAAATTACTTGGTAAAGAATACCACAGAGCCTGTGGTGAGAGGTTCATGTATGGCCTATCCCCCTGCCAAAAGCTACTATATAGTTAATTATATATGCAAACAAAATATGTTTATCATCTTGATGATATTTTATTTAATTTTAAGAAATCCTATGGATAGGTACACCTCTTCTTTAATAAAATCATTGGGAAAACAGTACGTCTTCACGACGATAACCATCTATAGTCATCGCAAGAAAATTATTTACTTCAGAGTGGTTAACAGCAGCATAAATTTGCATTCAACCATAACTAAAAATTTGTTACCTGTGTTAGTTACTGTATCAAGTCAAGGATTGGGCCCTACCCAGTTGAAATAATAGAGATCCTGCCGCAGACCGGCAGCGAGACGGAGTTCAGCTACACGGTACAAAGCAGCCAGACAGTACAAAACGGTGATGTAGGCTTGGCTATTCTATTTTTTGTATGGGGAAAATTTTTCTGAATGTAATGTTGCGTCATTTTACGTTATATCATGAAAATCTGCGTCATTGCAGGTCAATTCGCGTCAGCGTACGTAAACTCCCCTTAATTTAACGTCAACACTAAAAAAATCTGTCTGTTCGAGACGTGATCCTGCAAGAAGGTGGTGCCTGGGTTAGGCCTAAGCTAGCCTTCTGTTTGATCTTGATTGAGCGCATTTTTCTGAAAGCCTTAAGGCACTTTACATTAGAACCTAGGCCTAGCTAGTAAGGGCGCTAATGCACTTTAGTTTAGTACTCTACTACCCTAACCCTAACCTCAACTGCAGTCTTGCTGTGTTATTGTTAAGGTTAGGGTTAGGGTGGAGTACTAAAGTGCATTAGCGCCCTTAGGCCAAGCCTGGGCCTAGGTCACCCTTTATTTAATAATATAGCCTTTCTAGCCTAGGCCCCTAGCTTCAGCCTAAGGCCTGTACTAATAATAAGACCAAGTAGGAGTGGTAGGCCTAGCCTAGCTAGGTAGTTCAGTTCTAAGTAGATATACATCTCATTTCTCCGCCATTTACTTACAGTATCCAGTAACCATACTGAAGGCTGTAAATGGTAAGATCATTAAAGCCTAATTAACAAACGAAAATTATATTGTGGTGAATGTTTGACAAACCCATTCATCAATCTTCCGGCGTTTCAATTCTTTACTAGCGGAAACTTGAGAGGGCGCGCCACAAAATAAAGGCTGTGCCTCGTGTTTAGTCTGTCTCTTATACACATCTAGATGTGTATAAGAGACAGGTGATCGCCATTTACAGATCGTCCAGAAGTTTGGGAAGGATGCCCGTGGTACACTTAATATAGAGTACTACAGTGTTACATCACGATACCACGTGATACTACTCTCTTGCTCTCAGCGACACAAAATGCGTTCAACCAACGCCTTTTTTTATCCACTGATTGATCTCAATTTCCAACGTACTTATTAAGAAGATATATCTTAACTTTTCTTTGTAAATGTTAATTGATGATGAAATTTGTGTTCGATAATAAACTAGCTTTTTGTGTTTTTAGTACATTTTGATGGTAAATTATTAGGTTTTAAAACCTATTCAGAAATCCTATTCTAAACTAAGATTATGAAGTCATTCAGACATTTTAAATGAACGGTAACCAACGACTACTGTAGATGGTGCCACCTGGTGTTGTGACGATACAACTGTGGTACTCTAAATACTCCCTGATTCACATTCTAAAGCCACAAATAAAAATCCGAGAAATGGTAGCTGTTTGACTAAATATCACTGCTGAAATTTAGTTTTAAGAAATCTACCTTGCCTTTTACTTAAGAATCATGACAATCATTACCATTAAGTGTTGCTCTGGTAAATATCAGATTGTCACAAAATGAAAACTATGAGGCTGTTCCAACACTCCATGAGTTGTGGAATTACACTGAAAAAGGGTGGCACCATGATTCGCCCGACGGGGGTCCGAGGACCCGAGGTGTGTGTGGGGGTGGGGGTCTTAATTTTAAGACACTAAAAAGAAAATTAATTAATAGTTTTATATCTTACAAAAATATTAATCATCTTAGTTATCATCATCTGAAATTGAAAAAAAAATGTCTATTTTGCTGATCTATTATACTTCATGAATGTCAGTGGTAGATTAAAAGAAGTCGGTTTCCCCTAACTTTGTCAAAATTATTTTAAAAAAATGAAATATAAAGAAAATTATATTTAAATTTTAAGTATGTGAGTGTCATTTCTGGCCATCTATAGGTGCTATATTCATAAATGTTTTTATCTCAGCTCCAACCCATGGTGAGTCTGAGGCTGTATAGACCCTTCATCAGTGAAAATGACTCCCTGGGCCCCTCTTCAATTCGGGATCCGCCACTGATATATCATTTGTTTTCGGTCGTTAAAAAACAATGATCACTCGTCTGTGTGTGCTTCTCGGGTATACATGTTACGGGTAGTGGTAACGATAATAATACGATAATAATTTTAAGCTTTTCCAGATATCAGCTAAGCGCGTCTGGCCATCTACTAATTCCACAAAAATCTCAAATGGAAGGGGACGCCCTCCCAAAACCTATGATGGGCGCAGAACTTGGGGGACGTCCCCCACATATTTTTTAGGGTGGGGGTGGTCCCCTCATTTTTCGTCCGCATGAAATTTCAGTCAAGAAGATGGCTAAAAATTGTTGAAATAAACTGCATACATGACCCAGGTTTTAACGAAAAGGTGCTGAGTGTACAACAGTATCTCTACCCACCAACATCTAAATTACTTATAATACACCACCAGAGTGTGCGTGCCTATTATAATTTGAGAAGTATCTGAAAAAGTGTGGAATAATAATAATAATAATAATAATAATAATAATAATAATAATAATAATAATAATAATAATAATAATAATAATAATCATCATCATCATCATCATCAGATTCCTATGGTTTCCGAAAATCGCTGGTAAACGATCATGAAACATTTGTTGAAGCATCATTTTGCCAATAATGGTGATGTGATGCTGAATTTCAGGCCATCTAGAGGTACTATTTCTTAAAATGCTCACACCTCACAAATGTCCCCCTCTTTTTCAAAACAGATATCTGTGCCCTTACCAAAACCACGTCACCCTTCCCCATCCTTGCTGCTTCGCACTCGCATTATGCACCCACCATTGCAAAATCGTAGATCTGCCACTGAAAATAGTTAGAACACAATAACAAACATGATTAAAAATGAGTAATTCTAAAAGTCCACACGATGGAAAAGGCGATCGGCTGGACCAAGGAAAGGGCCTCAAGTCTTAGAAACCCTTACCGGGTCCCCAACCCCAGCGTTACGCCACTGATTGATGTTCAATACAAAATTCAATGAAAATAACAATAAAATTCAAAATTCTCTGATGTAATTGTACTTCTCAAACTACACATATCTGTCAATTAAAATGGAAAATGCTCACAAAACCAATTTTCTATTATACAAGTGGTCGATAAAATAAGGTGCAAGATAGCCACATTATCATAAAGTAGGCATCAGCTAGATTTCTTATGTTTTCTAGTAGAGAAATCATATCTAAATAAACATCAGCAGCTGATCACCAACTAATACCATAAAAACAAATGTAATGAGCTTTAGATATTAAAGAGATAATTATATATATATATATCTCTTATACACATCTAGATTCTCAAACTTAAACAAACAAATATTAATCATCATAGTTGTCATCATCAACTAACTAAATTGTAAAATTACTATTTTACTGATATTAATAATATTCTTATTTGTACATAAATATTATTATTTCACGTACCAATATGCAAGTAAGCTAATACATACAGGATGCAATGATCACCGTGTTTTTATTAAAGTATTTGTATTTGTAGTATTTGTTCACATCAGTGAATTAAAATGGAACATGTTTCCAAAATAGTATTTTCTTTTTATATAAATGGTCAAAATGTTTAGGAGTAAGAATCATGCGGAACTTTTTTCAATTTAATTACCACATGGTATAAGTACACTGTAAACAGAAAAATACACACAAATGCTATAAATGGAGAATGGAAGTATGATGAGCAAGACATCTTATCCAAATAGGCCTAAATATTAGCAGCTGATCACCAAAAATCACCAATAATAATAATTATACCTTAATAAAAAATAAAAAATCTAAGACTCACATGCAATAATCATCTTAAGGTACAAAGAATACATATATTTTAAATTACTTTGATTCATGTGATTTCATGAACACGTGTAAAACAATTACTACAGTATATTAATTTAAATAAACGCCCCGGGCCTTTATTGTTGAACATTGGTTTTAAGTGGTGTTTATTCGAGGGAGGCGTTATACTTTTTCATGTCTAAATGAATACTTATGCTAAAATAAACACCCCCTAATAGTGGAACAACTGTCAGAATATGTTACTGAAAGACTATTGTAATTCATCTCGACCATTTCATATACAAAAAATGTAATTACACTGGAGTTGGATATTAATAGAATGAGTTGACTGACAATGATTTTGCTTCCATTAATTTTGTATACGGTTATATGGGGGGGGGGGGGGCGCTTGCGCTTATGGAAAAACAAACGTCCAAAATTATTTATGTGCGGAATCAAAATTATAATAGGTGGGATAAATATCTAAAACACAGAATTTATTTCGAGAGGGTCTCACATTTGAGCAAATAATAATGGCTTTACTTATCTTCATTCAGTAATTCAAAATAAAATTACTATTTGAATGATAATTATAACCATTTACTCTTATTGGTGATTGGTTACTGCTTACTAAAACAGAATAATAGAAAACGCAAGAATCTCTAATATTATTGTCCTTTATTACATTTACAATTGACATGTAACTGTTTTTGCAAAATCAATTTTATATTTTGTTGCACAAATGCTAAACAAAATTAAAGCGTAAGGTAGTCAAGTTGTACTCCTTGTAATATAGTCATGGTGCTAGTGCACAGCAAACAGAAAATTACACACAATAACAATTATAAAGTGTATTATTATATACTTTTATATATATTATTAATATCGTTCACATTTAAGGAGAGACTTCGGGATCGATATTATGATATCTATTAAATCTCTGGATCCGCATCAGGTTTCGCGTCTGATAAGCCCCAGAATAACGGGGGGAATTGAGTTGTGTACTTATTTCGACAATTCCATTTTCTAAATCTCTCTTGTTTCTTTTATATGATGGTAATGTATTATCAGCAACTTGTTCATACATACAAAGTGCAGTAGATCGAGCATTTTCATGTCTTTCCCAAACGTCACGTGTATTCCGATAACACTAAAAAGCAACAACCAGGTTGTTAAGTTAATGAATTGATTTAATATAAAAAAGATTATGCCTTCGTTTGGTTTTTATTTAAAGACAATAGCCGTATTTCTAAATCATTAATTGTATAAACATTTGGATGATCGGTATTTTTGCAGCTACTCTGCTGAAGACCCCAATTCATCTCGGGTAGCTTCGAGAGATTTTTTTAAAAAGAAAATAGTGCAAATTGTTTTGTTCAGGTTAATTGCCTATTCTCTTTCCTGGCAAATGATTTTTATCTTGAATGCCACATAAATATTATTATAAACAATAAGCTATTAATAAAGAAAATAACTGTAAATTTCAACATTTTAGTTTATGTAACACAAATAAAATAATAATGATGTATATTTAAACCATGTCCTTTGCAAATGAAATAAATAAAAGAAATTATAGTAATGATACCGTAGTTATTGCCTTTCATCTCTGTGATCCAGATTTGACCTATCCCTGTACATATGTTGTCTCCTATATTTCATATAGGCCTACTGTAATAATGCATGTCTTATTGAATAAAGTGATTTAATATAATAGTTAGTCTATTGTCATGTTATACCATATCAATAATATATATAACACAAAACTTACTGTTTTCATCATTTCATCTCTGTAACATGTCAAAGCTTTATCATGAGCTGCATTGTTCTTGTCAGCATTTTTCAAGGGATAACAGCAGATAGTAAATATTACTGACATCGTATACATCATAAGATCGACAATTTTACTTTCTAAATGAAATAAATGTCAGTATTTATATGTTACATCTCAGTCAACTGGATGACGTCGTACTAATCGTTCCTCTTTTGGCTTAACGATAATCATGTGCAAATTCAAC